CAAAGGTTGTTTTCTTAAATTACTGTTATTTGTAAACGTCTGTCTAATCTAAGTCCGTTTAAGAATCTGACTTCATTATTTCTTGTCAGATTTCTTAAATATACAAAGGTGTGTTTTCATTTGCAACAAATTTACTGGTAGGTATTTAATTTTAGCATTTTTCATAATTCATAGTTAACCACTTTTATTTCTGACTTGAATAATGTGGTGTTTTGTCTTTAGCCCTGTTGAGGAGGACAGAGATACAAAGATAATCTCGAAGGATGAGAAAGGTATGTGTCCTTTTCAGAAATAGAACTTTGATTGCTTGGAGAAACTGTTTTTGTATTGCATGGGGTATTTCAGCTGAAAAGCGTTGGAATCTGCAGTTGTTAAATATCATAAATTATTCACATCTTTCTGGATATTTTTAAATCTATTTATGCCTAAGAAACCCATTTTCCTTTTATATATTTTCTAAGGACATCTGTTTCGCACCCTTTTGTTTGTATCTTGATCTTCAAAGGTAGACGTTAATATGTGGCAAATATGTCCTTCATGGCACTGAAGATGCTTACCGACAGCTTGTAGTGAGTCAAGAGCCTTTTGCAATTGTGTTTGCTTTACTATATGCTTGTGATTCTTCATACCATCTTCTGTTTTGCTGAATAATTTGGAGCTTAGTATTCATGTATTTAAATACCACAGAAACTTATAGCTTAATGTTGTCTTCAAATTAGATGGACGTTATTAAATCTGTGTCCACGCAGATCCTATTTATGGTGCAAATATGCATCATAAGCAAGATGAAAATTTCTTGATCAACAGTGTCAGGTGCCTGCTCCTTCTTTTCATCATACTTCTTTATTTTAATACATCGGACTGCTGAGACTTTGCAGCTCACCCCAGCTCTCTATTCTCTCCTACCTTACTAAGACAGAAAATTTAGAACTGAATGTTAATGTTCTTCTTATGTACTGGAGGCAGGTAGGCCGCCACTGGAAGTGTGGAAGTTCCAGTAATTCCTATAATAGGCACGAAACTCATTATGAGATCCATCTACCGACTAGACAGGAAGAATTTCTTTGGGTTTAATTTGGATTTACAACACAGACTGAACTCATTGTCAGCTGCTTTTTCCAAGATCCAGGGTTATATGCTTATCTGTGCAAGCTATTGGACCTCGCTGTAAGCTCTATTAGGGTCTGTTTGCCTCTTGCTTACAGTCTGTAATCCTGTGTTTTCTTACTTCAGAATATTTAAAGGAATGTTTTGTGCATGCTGTCATTTACCTAAGGACTTCAGTGTGGGGGTTTTTTTTGTGGACTGGGAAAACTCTTCTTGAAATTTGCACTCAAAAGAGCCTTCAGGAACGTAGGTGTCTGATAACAGCCTTGCCCCTCCATACCTTCTTCCAAAGGATGTGCTGTGTTCCATTTTATATAATTTTCTGGCTTAGTAAACAGCACTGGGGAGAGGTAGCTACTTGATGATGTAACTCCGCATGCAGATCAAAGCGGTCAAGCCGGGAGAAAGGTACAGAACTATATACAAGTCAGTTCTGACTCGTGTGTTGCTATTTCCATGCCTGTGTGGAAAGATTTTCTTTAGGACAAGGAGTTCTCCATGTTCCACACATTCATTATGACCTGTATTAATAAGAGTGTAGAAAAATAAATATATGAGCTCATAAGTGTGGTGGACTGCAGTCAATTTACACATATCTGAAAGATGTCTCCAGTGTTGAGGGTTGTCTCCCAATACCTATATCCTTCTAGTTTCTAAGTTAGAGAAGATTTTGTAGTCCCAGTCTTTCTTTGTCTTGGAAGTGCAGTACCATTGCGGGAGCACCTCTTTAAGTCTTATGGGAGGGCAAAAACTGGAGATGTTAAGACTGATCAAAGCTAATTCAAAAAGGACGTTAATGTAGCTTAAATAATCTTAAAAATCGTTGGTAAAATAGAAGAAAGAAGAAAGTGCTCATTTTACACTTTCTCCAGGATGCTGGTGCCAATGTAACTGCAGGTGGCTGTTTTAAAATTCTAGAAGAATCGTGTGGAGTAAAAGTATTAAAGCCTACGGCTCAGCTTTTTGAAACACGAAGGTAGTGTATCTCCTATGTGTTTGAACTGCACGGACACACCTTTGTCCATGCAGGTCTTGAGACTAGAAGATGACGGGTGTAGACTTAGTCTCCTTTATACAAAAGGCCTTTTTCTTTTTCTTTTTCTTTTTTCTTTTTCTTTTTCTTTTTCTTTTTTGTTTTTTTTTTTTTAGGCAGATGGTTTGGAAGCATGATTGTGTGCTTCCCTAGGGAACTTGTATAAATATTGGCAACAGTGTTCTTAGTGCTAAGTTCGTGTTTGAGACAGTAACAAAAATTATCAGGAAGAAAGAGATGGAAAGACAGCCAAATAAAATACCATTTTAGAAAAGTTCTGGAAGAAATGTCTCCCCTTGATGAAAGCAGTTCTGAGAAATTCTACATATCACAAAAAAAAAAGGCAGATGGTTTGGAAGCAAGTAGCTGGACTGAAACATGCTTTACTGCCTTCATTGAAGCCTAAGAACTGAACACTATCAAGACTGATAAAAGGACAGTTCAAAGGAGACTGGAAACAGTGCTTCGCACTGAAATGCAAACACTAAAACTTGGAGTTTGGCTCGAATACTTTTTAATCGCTAGACATTGGGTTTTCAGACTTTACAAGTACATAGGCATTTATAAAATTATCTTTCTAGTTTAGATGCTAAATTTTATGGGTGTTCTGTAGTTCTTGCATAAAGAAAACTAGGTCTTTTCTGACTCCTGTAAATGAAGCCACAGGCTTCATACCCCAACTATGGAATCTGTGTGGGCACAAATAGGAGAGAAATTATCTTGCTTGCTTTATGGTGGATGTCTTTCCTTGAAAGGTATGGTTAATCTGCATCCATCGTCATTCCCTTGGATTTGAGGAGATAAGGAGGGCAAAACATGAGCGTGTGTGGGTACTAACACAGTTTCTGCAACTCTAGCAGATCTTCTGTCTTTTCCTGTAAGTGCAGAGTTACTGGGATCTCTCCAGGCACATTCTGAAGAGCCACAGTTACTTCAGAGGTGCCCTAGTCCAGCTTGTTTCTTGAAGAATGATGTAACGTACTTCTGTTGCGTGTATCAAAGCTTGTAGTTCCATCCTAAAGTTTTTGGACTTGTACTACTTGCCTTCAGAAATGTGAATCATGGGGGGAGAATGCTATAAAAGTTTTATGGAATTGCTCCTTTTTAATTCAGAAGTAGTTGCTGAAATAATTAGCATTTGGGGTATGTTTTGGTTTTATTTGTTTGTTTTCCTAATTAGGTTGCACTGCTAGCGGTTCTGGTAGAAACTTTTGGGTGAGTGGACTGGCTTCCACTACCAGAGCTACAGATTTGAAGAATCTGTTTAGCAAATATGGGAAGGTAAGGTGGGGGTTGGTTGGGGGTTTGGCTTTTTTTTCCACTTGAAACTGTCTTAATAAGACTTCTTAACCTCCTGTCACTGAAAATACCAAATATCAAAAATATTGTGAGATATCAAGGAAAAAATTGAACTACACGCTGAACGACTGCTTTTTTTAATTCTGTTGCTCACTTCCAAACAAATACAAAATTCCATTTTCATTTCTTTATTTGAAACAGTCATTGACTGTTTACATATACTTCTGTCTTCCGTGCTGTAGTATAGTATCTTAACCCATTGGAAATTCACAGTTAAGGGTGAATTTAACATTGTTTATTAAAGATTTCCTTTGGACTAAGTAAAACATGCAGTAAACGTTGAAACGTAATTATTGGGGAGTATCTTAAGAATTGCCTTGGTACCTGAAGTTGGTGGTTGTTTTTTTTTTTGTCTAGAGTTGTCAGTTGCTTTAAAAAGCACTTGTTTGGGTAGTTTGGAAGGGGGATTTGTTGGTTTTGGTGGGGTCGTTTCCTGCAGTTGTTATTACTGATAGACAAGATGGCAAGTTAAATCTCCCTGTCAGTTGGGAAATTGAAAGAGCTAGTTTAATAGAAGATTGATGTCAGAGACATCAGTGAGGATATTTGTCAAACCTTTGAAGCCTATTTAAAGATGACTGACAGCAGACTGTAGTAAAAGAAAACTGTATGTGCTAGCAATCTGCTATTGAACGTTTAACTAATGAAAATACTCTAGAATTTAAATGTCACTTTTCAATAGGTGCAAAAATGGATTAAGTGTAGCACAGCTTTGAGTTTGTCTGAAAGTCATGAGACTAGTAAAACCTTTTTAACATTCCTTGTAACAGTAAAAATACAATACTTTCCTTCCATTTATTTGTTCAGAATTCCATCTGGTAATCTGGAACGTTGATCATAAAATTTCAAATGTAATTAAAAACCATGCAACAGCCAACCTAGTATTTGCCTCTGCTTAGATAGTAACATTTAGTCATTTAAATAAAACTACTGTTATTTTCTTTGGAGTATTAGCAGAGGCAAAGCTTCCTAGAAGTAGATGTACATCTGCAATAAATCAAATGCTCAAAAGTATGTTCTTTATTCAGCTGCACTTTAAAATACGACACCTCTGTGAAATATGATTGATTTTGGTAATACAAAGTGAGCTGTACTTAATATATGATCATAAGTAAGCCCTATTTATGAAAATGGGTGTTTTATGTGGGCTTTATCAAGTTACACTTTTTGGGGAAACTTCCTGTTTCTTAAACAAGATTGTAGATAACATTGTGAATCTGCCTCTCAGCAGTGACATGAAAACATTTTTTTGAGGGGAGAAGGGACTTTGCAGTTGATCGAGCATTAGCATGTGGGTGGAAATTGGCTTACAAATTTTTATTAGGTTTTTACTCCATTATACTTAAGCAAAATTATGTTGTTGGTGTAAAGTTAACCTTTTGTTTTGGTTTGGTTTTTTGCTTTTTTTAAATGGGCTTTCTTTAGAATGGAATTCAGTCTTTGGCTCCCATGTATTGATTCAACTTTTGCAGCGTTGCATCGGTAACAGAAGCATGACTGGCTCCAGGCAATAGTCCTTTTGTATTTGTTAATCTCTTAAAAATAGAAGTTTCCTGAATGTTGATGGACAGGAATAAAACAGAATAGCAATGGAGTTTGTACTTCTTGCTGTTAAATGGTGGGCACTTGTTACAGTGAGTGTAATACCCCTTTATTTTGGAAAGGTGGTAGGTGCAAAAGTGGTCACCAATGCTCGCAGTCCTGGTGCTCGCTGTTACGGCTTTGTTACGATGTCTACAGCCGAGGAAGCAACAAAGTGTATTACTCACCTCCACAAAACAGAGTTACATGGGAAAATAATTTCCGTAGAAAAAGTGAGTACTGATCCTCAAAGATATCCCATCACCATCAGATTATACAAATGATCGAGACCACATTCTCAGCTGATGATGTGCAAACTAAATTTCAGGCAAAAAATGAACCTGCTGGGAAGAAGCCAAGTGGGAAAAAAGAGAATGAAGCAAAGAAAGAAACAGTCAGTGAGAGGTACTGTTTAAAAATTATTTGTCCAAAGGTGTTCTGCTGTTCTTCAGTCTATGTTGATTTGTCAGGAAAAACGAAATTACAGTAAGAATTTCTGTCGCAAACATTCAAAAAGAGCAATAGATGCGTTTTTCCAACTTTTACTACGAGATAAAGTTCTGGTAGGCATTGGAAAGTTGCACTTTCAAGAATACCTTTTAATTTAGCTATATTTGCATTTTAGTAGAGATTGTGGAGCTTTCGTGTCATAAATCTATAGGAAAGGCCATTTGAGAATTTTGATCAGTATGTCACTGTTTCTTCATTAAATTTTTCTCTCATTGCGATAGGGTTTTTTTCAGGTGGTTGTGGTCACAAACAGTTAAAGGTCAGTTGTCCAAGATCCTGTTTCCAGAACACGTTCCTCTTCAGCACTATGCTTTTTCTCTCTAGCATTACTGAAAGTAGCTGAAAAACACACTAAGTCCTTTGCTTTAATTATCTTCTTGAGGCACAACTCCTATTAAATGCTATTTGCTGAGAAGTTTTGCCTTTACTTCACCTAGTTGCCCAACGAAAATGGTTCACGTTGGCACTTCATAATTGTCATGTTTTATAAGAAACGTTGTGGGCATTGAGCCTATGGTGGTGTGAATTTTCCCTTTTGCCTCCAGTTGAGATATCTGAATCAATCACAGCCAAGTTTTTATGACAACTGCACAGAATAGTCTGATTGTCTGTTTTTACGGTGTAGGAAGTTGTAGAAGGAAATCTTTGGAAATCTGACTGTCTTATCACATCGGAATTCTCTGTGTTACTGCATTGCTACCATTCTCCTTTAATCTTCTTTTCACTCTGTATTAATCTAATCTATATCAATATCAATATCTATCTATAGACCTGGCAGTGTTAAAAGGGATGAGAAATCTGAGCAAAAGGACGATCCTAAAAAGACAGAAGACAAAGATGAAAAGGAAAAAAAAGATAAAGATGAACTGAAGTCTGGTTCATCAGATCAACCTAAAACTGTTAAGTCAGGTAATTTGGCTATTCTTTTTTTTCATAGAGTAAAAGATATGGTGAAGTATGAATAATTAATTTTGTAGGTGGTTCTTTCCAGAGAACTGCCAATATTCTAGAATTATTCCAGTTCTTAGTTGGAAATCCAGAAGGTATAAAGAGGCGGGTGGGGTGGTGGCGTGCGTGTTTGATATTGTGTCATCCTTAACAGATGCACTTGGTATAGGTGTAGTAAAAGAATTATTTTTGAAGACAGGGTTAAATGCCCATTTTCACATTTTAGAGAACATAACTTCTGGCATAGCAATGAGTGTTGTAGGTTATGTATTTTGATTGTTTTTTCCATCTCTTTCCCCTCAACCTCTGATTTATTTAGGAAGTAAAGGAACAGAGAGAACAGTAGTAATGGATAAATCCAAAGGAGAACCTGTTATTAGTGTGAAAACATCAACTGCATCAAAAGACAGGGTAAGTAATGTTTCTGCCTGGGAAACATTATGTGTCAGTTTTCCTTAGAAACAAATAACTGAATCCTGCCAAGCTACATGTAACCCACGCTTGTCTTACCAATTTGTCCCATTAGAGTTTCTATAATGTGGATTTAGATCTTAATTAGTAAAATATGTTTCATATGGCTGATACCATATTCAGCAATGAAATCCTGCCAAACAAATGTGGGAATGCAAGTATTACTGTGTTAATATATGGTGAGTTTGTAATGTATAAAAAAACCCAAACCAACAGCTTTTTTTAAAAATGTGAGGAACCGAGCTTTGAGACATGATATCTATGAATGGAAATGGAGCTTAGAGTATTGTTTGTGATAGTTGTCATTTTATAAATGTACTCCATTAAGTTTCTCTACTTAAATACAGAGCATTAAAAGCCAGGATCGCAAATCAGAAAGCAGAGAGAGACAAGGCATTGTGCCATTTGACAAAATTAAAGCACAGCGAAAAATGAGGGAGGCAGAGCAGCGCCGGTAAGAGCAACACTGAAATTGTTTGATTTTTTTTTTTCCTAGAATGAATATAATTTTCTTTTGATTAAAATGACTAAGAGATAGAGGAAGTTGATTTGTTTTTTACTTGTAATTTGTTATATGTTTGTGGGTTGCACATCTGTTGAATTGGGAAAGCTCTGATTATTGACTCTGTTAATACTAAGCTTGAAATTGTGTTTGGGGGGGAAAAAATTGCAGTTTGTTTTTTGTTCTTATTCCATTTTGTAGATTTTGTTGTTTAGATTAAGTATGCTGCTCTCCTTAGCTGAGCATGCTTTATAGAAGAAGTAAAATGATAATTCTAAACTTGCCACACTTGCCACACTCAAATATACAGGGAAAGATCAGGAGAAAAGTTGTCTTTCTCAGAATAAGGCCTTGTCTTTCTTGTCAGAGCATTCAAAGTCTCCATAGTGTTTGAAATAAAGCAAGCTAAATATTTTTTTTATTTAAATACATTGTGTCTGTAGAGAAATTGGGGGATTTTCATTATATCTTTTTAGTTGAGAACCTAATTTAGCTAAGAACCTAATTCAGTTATTTATTATTTTGTGGGGTTTTATTTCTATTTTCATTATGTTTAATACAGGATAAAGGTCGTAATGGCCATCCTTCAAATTCCTTGCTAAAACTGTGACCTGCATTCCATGTTAAAACATTTTCCACACGTTACAAAACTTCTATTACTTATCTAAAGTAAGTTGAATTGGACAGGGGAAAAATGTTTTCATGATTCTTACTGGAGAGGAAAAAGTTCCTCTCTCATAGGTAAATAGATTTCTGAGCCTTAGTGGAGTCATATTATCCAGCATACTGTTCTGGCTTCTTCAGAGCTGAATATTTGAGTAGAAGGAATGAGCTTGGGGCATTTGGATTTAAATTCTCCTGACCATATAGGATTATTTGCCCCCACAGGTGGGTTTTGTGGGAGTAATATGATCAGTCTCTAAATACAAGTAATTTATGCGTACACCGAGTGTTTTCCCTCTGTGCCCTCCCCCCCCCCCCCCCCCACCCACGCCACCAGC